TACCCATACTCCTCAAGCTCTTCAGAGAAACAGAGAAGGAGGGAGCTATCCCAAACTCATTCTACGAAGCCAATATCACACTCATCCCCAAACCAGGCAAAGACCCAACCAAAAAGGAGAATTACAGGCCAATCTCCTTGATGAACACAGATGCAAAGATCCTTAACAAGATTCTAGCTAACAGAATCCAGAAACACATAAAAAAAATAATACACTATGATCAGGTAGGCTTCATCCCAGAGACACAGGGATGGTTTAACATACGTAAGTCAATAAATGTAATCCAGCATATCAACAGAGCCAAGGTCAAGAATCACATGATTATCGCCACAGATGCAGAAAAGGCCTTTGATAAAATTCAACATTCATTCATGCTAAAAGCTCTGGAGAAAATAGGAATAGAAGGAACATTTCTAAAAACAATAAAAGCCATTTATGACAGACCAATAGCCAATATTATACTTAATGGGGAAAAGCTACAACCAATCCTCCTAAAAACAGGAACAAGGCAAGGATGTCCACTGTCTCCACTCCTCTTCAACATAGTCCTAGAACCCTTAGCCAGGGCAATAAGGCAAGAAAAAGACATTAAAGGGATCCGCATAGGGAAAGAAGAAGTGAAACTATCCCTTTTTGCAGACGACATGATACTATACCTCCACGATCCCAAAAACTCCATCCCCAAACTTTTAGAAATCATAAGTCACTTCGGCAAAATAGCAGGATACAAAATAAACCCACAAAAATCAGTTGCCTTCCTATACACTGATAACGCACAGGAAGAGAGGGAAATAAAGGGAGCAACCCCATTCACAATAACCTCCCAAAAAATAAAATATTTAGGAATTAACCTAACCAAAGATGTAAAAGAACTATTTAATGAGAACTATAAAAAGTTAAAGAAAGAAATTGCAGAAGACACTAGGAAATGGAAAGACCTCCCATGCTCCTGGATAGGCCGACTTAATATAGTAAAGATGGTGATACTTCCAAAATTAATATACAAATTCAATGCAATTCCTATTAAAATCCCAATGACGTACATCACTGAAATACAGAAAACAGTCCAAAAATTTATATGGAACAACAAAAGACCTAGAATAGCCAAAACAATTCTAGGGGATAAAGACAATATGGGAGGGCTATCCATGCCGAACTTCAAACTCTACTACAGAGCTATAATCACAAAGACAGCATGGTACTGGCACAAAAACAGACCCGAAGACCAATGGAACAGAATAGAAGATCCAGATATAAATCCACAGGCCTACAGCCAGCTGATATTCGACAAAGGAGCCAAAGACATACAATGGAAGAAACACAGCCTCTTCAACCGCTGGTGCTGGGAAAACTGGGCAGCCACATGCAGAAAACTAAAAGTGGACCCCAGCCTATCACCATGCACCAACATCAACTCAAAATGGATTAAAGACCTTAACATTAAACCTGAATCTCTGAAACTACTGCAGGACAGAGTAGGAGAGACACTTGAACTAATAGGCACAGGAAGGAACTTCCTGAACAGAGTCCCAGGGTCACAACAAGTTGGAGAGAGACTCGACAAATGGGACTACCTTAAAATAAAAAGCTTCTGCACAGCTAAATCTATCGCAACTAAGCTAGAAAGACAACCAACTAATTGGGAAAAAATATTTACCAGCAATATATCAGACAAGGGGTTAACATCCTGTATATACAGGGAACTCAAGAAACTAATCCCTCCCAAACCTAACAAACCAATTACTAAATGGGCAAGGGAACTAAAGAGGGACTTCTCAAATGAAGAAATAAAAATGGCAAAGAAACACATGAGGAAATGTTCATCATCCCTGGTGGTGAAGGAAATGCAAATAAAGACAACCCTGAGATACCACCTTACCCCAGTCAGAATGTCCCACATCCACAAATCAGCCAACGACAAATGCTGGAGGGGATGTGGAGAAAGAGGAACCCTATTACACTGCTGGTGGGAATGTACACTTATACAACCACTTTGGAAAGCAGTCTGGAGGGTCCTTAGAAAGCTAAAGATTGACCTCCCTTACGACCCAGTCATACCACTTCTAGGCATCTACCCTGAACAACAGGAACCAATATACAAGGACACGTGCACCTCCATGTTTATTGCAGCACTGTTCGCAATAGCTAGGATATGGAAACAACCTAGGTGCCCCACCACAGATGAATGGATCCAAAAATTGTGGTATCTATACACAATGGAATATTATGCAGCCATTAGAAATGACAAAATAATGGCATTTGCAGGGAAATGGATGGAGCTAGAAGGAATCATGTTGAGCGAGGTAAGCCAAGAACGAAGAGACAAACGGTACATGGTCTCCCTCATAAGTGGATGCTAAATCCAAAAGGTTAGTGATACGACAAAACTAACAGGACTTAAGAAACAAAGAACTCCCGCTCATCTGGTTGAACCACTACTAAATATCCTCATGCTGCTGATCACAAATATGGTATATAACATGTGAACACTGTTATATATTACAGACTGTGGTAGACAATTTGCTCCAGGGAAGTTAGAATGAACTTGTGACTTTGAAATTATGTAATCATTTAATCACAATCAAAAAAAAAAAAAAAAAAAAAAAAGAACCTCGGGGAAGGGAGGGAGGGAGGGGATGGTAGGGGGAAAACAATGGAGGGGGTAACAATGTTCAAGAGGAAGTGTACTCATAACCTCACTCATGTAACTGTGACCCTCTGTATAGTAGCTTTACAATAAAAAAAAAAAAAAAAAAAAAAAAAAAAAAAAAGAGAATAAATAAAACCTTCCCAAACTGACAAAAGGCATCTACCAGCAGATTTCACAATCATTACAAATCCCAATCATAATAAAGACAAGACAATCACACGTATAGGCATATTATAGTAAAAGCACTACAAAGTCAGAAAGAAAAACAAATGTAAATGGAGGCAAAAAAATTATCTTTTAATGGAGCAGAAATAAGCTCTGAAGAAGCTAGGAATAGAAGTAACATTCCTCAACATAATAAAGGCTATTTATAACAAACTTACAGCCAATACCATTCTCAATGGTGAAAAACTAAAACCATTTTCCTTAAATCAGGAACAAGACAAGGATGCCCACTTTTTCCAGATAGCCAGACCAACAAGACAAGAGAAAGACATAAAGGGAGATGAAATAGGAAAAGAAGTACTAAAAATATCCCTATTTGCAGATGACATTATCCTATACCTAATGGACCCTAGAGACTCCACCCCCAAGTTCCTAGAGCTGGTAACTTTAACAAAGTAGCAAGGTATAAAAAAATAATCCACAGCCAGGCACTGGTGGCTCATGCCTATAATCCTAAACTACTCAGGAGACTGAGATCTGAGGATCACGGTTCAAAGCCAGACCGGGCAGAAAAGACTGTGAGACTCCTATCTCCAATAAACCACCAGAAAACCAGAAGTGGCGCTGTAGCTCAAGTGATAGAGCGCTCGCCTTGAGCTGAAGAGCTGAGGGACAGCACTTAGGCCCAGAGTTCAAGCCCCATGACAGACAAAAATAATAATAATAATAACAACAACAACAACAACCCACAAAATCAGCAGCTCTTTTGTATGCCAACAATGAAAAGACTGAGAATGAAATCAGGAAATCAACTCCATTTGACATAGTCTAAAAATAATACCTAGAAATGAGGTTCAGTGCAACATTATTCACTATATCCAAGATGTGGAAACAGCCCAGATGCCTTTCAATGGTCAAGAAAATGTGTTATTATATACACAATGAAGAGGTCAAGGAGAGGTAGATAAATAAAGAGAAGACAGGGAGAATGCAGTCAAAATATTCAGTGCATTAATATGCAGTGCTGAGGGGCTAGGCGGGATGGGGGGAGAATGATGAACAGGGTGACATTATAAACTGATCTGTTAAATGGTAACCCCTTTGTACAATTACTTACAAGTTGGAGATATACTTAGCCTATGATGTAGCAGCTCTACACTTTCATACATACCAAAAGAAATGAATGCACATACACCAACAGCTGTGTATAAAGGTGTTTATAGCAGTAACATCTGCAGTAGTTCTAAGCTGGAAATGCTCAAATAGATCAATAGTGGAATAGTGAACTCTTACTCAACAATGAGATATGGTACAGTAGCATAAATGGAACAATTCAAGCAACGTGCATACCATATATATGATGTTCAATGGCAAAAAGAGACACAAAGGAACACATTTCTTTATTTTATTTGTACCAATTTAGCAAACAAATCAAACTAAGTCACAGCCTTTGGCAATACTTGCTTAGATAGTAAAACTAAACGGAAAAGCAAGTAAGGGACTAGAGATACAGCTCAATGAGAGAGCACTTGCCTAGCATGTGTGAGGCTCTGGGTTTATTCTCGAGTACCATAAAAAGAAAGAGAGGAAGAGAGAGGAAGAGAGACTGAGTTGGGGGTTGCCCACAGGCAATCTGGCGAGCCTGTTCCTGGTGTACACTTACATAAGGATTAGCTTTCTGATTACCCACAGAGCTGTGAGTTATTTGGTGTACTTTCTCTGTATACCTTGTACCTTGTATTATTGAAAGGTTTGTAGCTGAGTGTGGTGGTACATGTCTATAATTCCAGCTTCTCGGGGAGGTGGAAGCAGGAGGATCACTAGTTTGTGGACATCTCAAACAAAATTACCAAGAACCTATCTGAAGGAAACAAAAACAAAAAGGACTAGGCATGTAGCTCAAGTGGTGAAGAGCTTACCTAGCCAGCTTGAGGCCCTGGGTTCAAACCCTGGTACTGAGAAAGAAAAGGGCTTCTGCATATAAACACACATTCTGTTAAACCAACCCAGTTGAGGTTTGGCCTGTGCTTGGAGCATGTCAGCCAATGTCTAATTGTGTGTGTGTGTGTGGGGGGGGGGGGTCCTTCAGGTAGAAAACCCAGGGCATCTTCCTTTCTCCTTCACCTCTTAACTATGCCAGGCATTTGAAAGAAACAAAGGTAGGGTTTGCCCTAGGGGCTGAAACTTCTCTTCTAGTAAAAGACCCAAGCTTCCCCTCAGCCTTGCCTCTTGGCAGGGGACAAGGAGGTCAGAGAGAGCAAGCCAGGCTGAGGGGACCTGGCATCAGGAGACAGGGAACCCATGAAGGGCAGTCCCTGGAGCTCAGCTCTTAGGGATCTGCCTTTCCCATATGGCTTTAGTGAGAAAACACAAAACCCTCTCTAACTACCCATACCCCCAACTTCAATGAAAAGGTCAAGGGAATTTTCCTCCCCCTTAAATGGAACGACTCTTTCTTGGGCCCAGAAAGAATTATTTATCAGTGCACTCCGCATGCCTTTACAGGGCCTTTCTGTGCTCTGAGCCACAACAGACAACTTTCTTCCTGAAAGCTCAATTTATAGGCCAACTTCAAAGCCCAGGTCCTCAGAGCAGGGCACGGGGCTACAGTTTGGGGACTAACATCAAAGGGACTGCGCAGGTTGATCTGATGTCAGGTGGATAGCCACAGGGCTGCAGGAGGAGGCCTCCAAGGACAGGCCTGTCCTTAGCACCAGAAGCGCCCGGGGAGGCTGCTTGGCAGTGGCCAGGCTTCTCAAATCCCAGCTTCAAAAGCACTGGGCCATTGCATTCCCCACTCCATTGCAGGCGGCTGCCTGAAAAGGCTGGCAAAGGATGAGGACCGAACAGGACGGGTGTACAGCAGATGACCCCAAACCTGCATCTCCTACCCAGTCAAGAGAAGGAGGCAGGGCCTAATAATAGAAGAACTACATTGAGCACTCTTCTTCATAAAGAGTCAGATATGCGAGCAAAACCAGGCCAGTCATAAGAATGACCTGCTTTAGGTCTCACAATGACCCAGGTAAGGTAGATGTTAATAGACCCATTTTTCAAAGGAGGACATTGAAGTTTGGAGAAAGAAAGGGGAGGGGAAAGAAAGGACAAGGAGGGGGACAAAGAGAGGCAAAGAGAAGTGACTTGTTAAGGTTGTAGAGCAAATAAGGGCTCGTCTGATTTTGAATTTCATGAGCACTGCTTTTCTATACTGCTCAAAGAACTTAGAAATAAGGGGCTAGGAATGTTCTCTGGGGGGCACAGTCTAAGACACACAAGAGCAGAGAGAGACCAAGTCATCTGAGAGAGCAGTTTCCCTGGCTAACAGGCTATGACTTCATTATTCATTCAGCAGCTCATAAAACAACTTGTTTCTTAGCACCTTCTTTTGGCAGACATTGTTGTGGACACTAGGATAACACAGTAACAAGAAGATGTCCTTGTTGCCTGGAAGCTAATGTTTTCTAAGGGGATCAAGCAATATACAAGTAAATAAAATTAAAGTCTAATACAAGGTAGATGACTACGCCTGAAGCGCAGATCAACAGTGATGCATGTCATTTTCTAGCATTTCCTATGAGGCCAGGAACTGTTCTTAGCATTTTCTGTGTATGTTTAATCCTTACAATAACCTGACCAGGATACATATCAATATAATCTCCTTACATTACTGATGAGGAAAATGAGGCTGGGAGTAGTAAGGGAACTTGCCCAAGGTCACAGGGCTGGCAAGGCAGCCCTTGAACTAAGCATAGTCTATGAACCTAGCTACTCGGGGCTAAAAAACAAACAAAGCAAAACAGGAGTAGGTGTAGCTCAAGTGGCAGAGCCTTGCAAGCCTATCTTGTACTCTCTGCATTGGACTGCTCCTTTCCAGAATCTACCTATTGCTGGGAGTGAGTGGAGGAACCTTTCAGGGGCCAGACCGTGGGCTGGAGGAATGCTGAAGTGAAGATAGTGTCTCTCACTGGTATAGCCTAAGGACATCAGGACACTCTTAGACTACTCCCAGCTCCCAAGACTCAGGGAAGTGTGCAGTCCACTGGTCATTAATCTTAAAGACTAATTAGATCTAGACATGAGTCTTGAATGACTGTGTGGCTGGAGGAACATATTACTATAATTGTATCTGCCATAGTACAATGCGAGGTGTCCAAAACATAAGTATTTAATAGATGTGTTTATTATGTATGGTATTATTATTAACCATAACAACCTGATAATTCTGACCTGAGGTGAGTAGGCCTTCCAGTATAACTTCGATTTGACAACAGTGGGCAAGTCTCCAGGAGGGTAAAGAAGTATTGATTATAACCATGACCATACATACCATGACCATACAGACCTAGACCCCTCTGCTATCCTCTTCTCCAAAGTGCCAAGGTCAGCGATCCATCGCACTGCATGCACACATGCATACTCATGCATCTCACAGCTCAGCGGGGGCTCACCCTATCAGCACCTTCCCTAGGTGGGTCTCTGCATTGTCACTCCAAGGCCAGCCCGTCTAGAATGCAGGCAGACATCACAGCCCATCCACTCACACCCTCCTCTCAGTGGTCAGCAAGCATCTGTGATAAGCTGGGCACTGAGCAAAGGGCAGACTTCCAGGAGCTTGAAGGCTGGCCAGTGAGAGAGCTACTTGAGGACAATTCTGCATTGCAGAAGTTCTCTAGTTGGCAAGTGTGTCAGTTTCCATTTGACTCACTGTCACCATTAACCACCTAAGAACAACTTAAGAGAGGATTTATTTTAGTTCATGGTTATAGAGATTTCATCTCACAGTCCTTGGCTCCATTGCTTCTGGGCTCATAAGCAGGGTACAACATCATACCTGATAGAGCTTCTCACTTTATGGTGGACAAAAAGCTCAGAAAGAGGAAAGGACAAGGAATCTATGACCTACTTCCTCCACCGAGGCCCCAGCACCTCCCCAAATAGTGCCACCAACTGGGGACTAAGTGCTCAATGCATGAGCCTGTGGGCGTCATTTCATATTCAAGCCATAGCATTCTGCTACTGCCAATCCCACAAGGTTGTCTTACAATGAAAAATATACTTAGTCCCTCTCCAAGAGGGACAAAGCCTTAGTAGTTCCAACACCATTGTCCCAAAACCAAAGTTCAAGACTAAAGTCTGAGACTCAAAGTAGACGCTTGAGCTGTAAGACCCTGTTAAATAGTTACAATGGCCAAGAGTAAACATTCCCATTCCAAAAGTGGGGAGAATAGGGGCATCCAAAAGGGTAGACCCAAAGCCAGATTAAAACCAGCAGTAGCTCTCTGATGGCAGTTTGAACTCCAATGGGCGTGGGACACCTGGCCAGGACAGCGTTGTCTGTTGTAGCCCTCATGGCCTCTCTCCTGAGCTGCCTCCACTTGTTGCCTGTTTCTTTCCTGGTAGACATGCCAGGTTCCTGGATCTCCAACAGCCTGGGGGCTTCACTGCAGCTTAGGCTTCATACTCAAGGTTTTCTTAGAGACTATACCTAGAGAGACCCAGGCTCTGTCACACATAGATTGCTTGGTCTCTTGGTTTTCCTTTGAAATCTCAGTGGAAGCCTTAGTGACCTCACAATTCTATTCTTCATGCCTGCAAAACCAGTACACAAGTACCACATGGACAATGCTAAAGTCTGTTGCTAACTTCAGCTATAGTGGCCTCTGAAATGTAGACGTATTTGAACAAAGGGGAACGTTTCTCAAGGCAGCCCTGTGCAAGCAGGGTGCCTGGAGCTCTCTTTCCAAACTCTTTTCAATAACCCTGATATGGGCAGGTCTGACCAATCCTGGGATGTTCTCAACATCTCTTTCCTGTGGTTTCATGTTTCTCTTGAATGGCATTAATCTCTTCAGAAATCATGCCTTCCTTATCTCCAAATGTATAAACTTACCAACTTGTAAGTTTTTCTTCTTTCTAATCTACATTTTGATTTTGATTTGTAGTGTAATAAGTGTGACAAAAAGCAGTCAATAACTATGGCACAGCCTGAAAGCTACATTGGCCTTGAAATTCCTCTGCCAAATTAGTGAATCTATTACCTTTAAACTCAGACTAAGGCAAAGCCTCAGGACAGAGAAAAAACGTAGACAAGAAGAATGACAAAATGTACGAGAATGGCCTCTAGTCCAATTCCCAAGTCTGCGTTCACATCTGAAACCTCCGGGGCACCATCTTTACCATTCACATTTCTACTGGCATTCTTGTTTTCTGAGCACCCACCATAATTGCTCATTAAGTAGAGCTTACAGCAATCTAAGCCTTTTCTATCCCACATCTCCAAACATTTCTAAATTCTTCCTATAAACCAGTTTCAAAGGCTAGAAAAAAAAACCAACATAACCTTATTCACAACAACAATCCTACTTCTCTGGTAGCAATTTTCTTTGTCAGTTACTTTTACATTGCTGTGACCAAATGCCAGAGAAAGACAACTTAAAGAGAAGAAGGGTTTATTTTAGCTCATGGATTCAGCTCAGTCTTTGGGTCCACTGATTCTGAATCCCTGTGAGATATAATATCATAAGAGTAGGAGGCATGTGGCAGAGGCTTTCTTATATCATGACAGACAGGAAAGGGGCGGGGAGGCCAGAGGCTTGATATAACCTCCAAAGGCTTAACTCCAATGACCTACTTCCTCCAACTAGGCTCCACCTTCTAAGGTTTCCAGCACCTCTCAAAATAGTGCCACCAGCTGAGGACCAAGGGATCAGCAGGAACCTATGGCAGACATTCCATATACAAATCATAACATCAAGGGTCATAGACACTATCTCATTTTGTAGTTTGTATGCTAAGCAATTGAGAATGTGAAAATGATGCTGTGCCAGTTCTAGATTACCTTTCTTTTCCTTTCCTTCCCTTTTCCTTTCTTTTCCTCTCTTTCCTTTCCCTTCCCTTCCTCCCTTCTTTCTTGCTTTTGAGACAGAGTCTCACTATGTAGTCCAGACTGTCCTTCAACTGGAAATCCTCCTACCTCAGCCTCCCAAGCACTAAGATAGACGTGTGGCTCAGGCCTAGTATTTAAATATCTGACCGCTTTGCTTCCCTGGGAAGCCAGCTCAGATAAAATGTCCAGCTACCCCAATGCTTTCCTACTGTAAAAGATACTAGGCAGCTACTGGAGAGGCCAAGGGAGAGCGGACGCTGCCCAGCCATCCAGCTTGTCCAGCCACACCTGCTGCAGTGCCGCACATGTGAGTGAAGACACCGGGCAGCTCAGTCCCTGCCTTCCTTTCTGGAGCTGAAGATCTATCCAGCTGAGCACAAACAACCTCAAACCGCCTGAGATCATAAGCTGTTGTGGTATTAAGTCACCACGATGTTTTGGTACAGTTTACCATGCAGTAATAGATAAAGGAGAGAGAGCAGAGTCCCAAGGGAGGGAGGGAGGGAGACACGATGTGCCAGTGCCACACAGGGAGAGAGAGACTACAGGCTGAAGAGCGGCCCTCACCAGCGTCAGGTAAACAAGCACAAGCTGCCCTACTACGGGCCAAAGAGATAGAAACTGAGGAAGCAGAACGGCTCCCACCCGTGTGCATACTGCAGTTGCAGATGACAGAGCGAAGCGGCGGCGCTTCAGAGGGCTGCGGTTCGGAGGCACCACACAGCGGGCAGAAGCAGCTTCCCTGGAATGAATGCACAGGCAGAGTGAGGGGCATGTTCATAGTAGTCATTTACTGCAAGTAGGAAAAAGTGAAGCCTGTGTGAGCTCACCTGAGGTGTCTGGGCCCTCTCTGGAATGACGCAGAGACTCGGGCTGAGCCTCCCAGGATAAGCAGAGCAGGGAAGAGTCCATGATGTCTGAACTGTTGCTGTGACTAGTGGTTAGTGTGGCCTGGAGAAACACAGGCAACAGCAGAAAGGCCTGACAATGAAAACCAAGAAAACGAATTCCAATATGCAGGTAGATAAGCTGGCAGGGTGGGCAGGGGACGAAGGGGGGAGGGAGGATTATAGAACAAGGTGGAGGAACTTGGATATGAGGGGCAGAGATGGACCTAAAACCAGTTTTTCCTGTAATTCTGACTCCACAGTGACTCCCTCAGCCACTGTCTCAGTAGACAGGGCAGAGACTGGGCCAAAAGGGTCTTGCTAAGATGCTCAGGCCTGGGTTCTTTTGGCACAGGACCTCATTTTCTGGATCCTCTGCCTGAGCTTGAGTTCTACACCAAAAGGCTGTAGGAGGAAGCAGACCCAGACAAACAAGAAGCTAGAACCTTGGTCAAAAGGAGCTGTATAAACATTCGGGTAAATGCCCAAAAGTGGGACTGGTGGGTCATAGGGGAATTCTATGTGGAGTCTTTTGAGGAACCTCCATACTACTTTCCAAAGTGGTTGAACAAGTTTACACTCCCACCAACAATGAAGTAAGGTTCCCTTCTGTCCACATCCCCTCCAGCATCTGTTGTTATTAGAGTTCTTGATTTTTGCCATTCTAACTAAAGCTACCAGCACAACTATGTTTATTGCAGCATTATTTATTATAGCTAAGATATGGAACCAACCCATATGCCCCTCAGTAGATGAATGGATCAAGAAAATATGGTATATATACACAATGGAATTCTATGCCCCCATCAGAAAAAATGACATTGCCCCATTTGTTAGGAAATGGAAAGACTTGGAAAAAATTATATTAAGTGAAGTAAGCCAGGCCCAAAGAAACATAGGTCCCATGGTTTCCCTTATTTGCAATATTTAGTATATGTATGAGTCAAACAGAAAAGGTCAGATAAGGTGATGTTAGGAAAATGAACCCTACGATATGTATTTAAATGTTTTTTTCTTTCATGCATTTGTTTCTAACGCATTTGTAAGATTATTTCTTTGTTGCTTTGTATGTCCCTCCCCCACAGTATAACCCCTGCTTTCACTGTATTTGATGTCAGCATAATTTGTGGAGGGGAAGGGGAAAAACAAGTCATTTAAATAAGGATACAGGTGGACCCGTTGCAACAATGAGAAGTACAAGTTGTCATGTCGAAAACGAACTTTATGGGCTGGGAAGGTGGCTCAGTGGTAGAGCACTTGCCTTGCATGCTCAAGGACCTGGGTTCGATTCCTCAGCACCACACAAGCAGAAAGAAAAAAAGCTGGAAGTGGCGCTGTGGCTCAAGTGGTAGAGCACTAGCCTTGAGCTGAAGAGCTGAGGGACAGCGCCCAGGCCCAGAGTTAAAGCCCCAAGACTGGACCAAAAAAAGAAAACGAACTTTAAAACTTTGGTGGGGGGGGGGGGGGAGGCTGGGAAGGGTAAACAAAGAAGGAGGCTACAATGCTTGATAAAAAATGTACTCATGCCGGGCGCTGGTGGCTCACGCCTGTAATCCTAGCTACTCAGGAGGCTGAGATCTGAGGATCTCAGTTCAAAGCCAGCCCGGGCAGGAGAGACCATGAGACTCCTATCTCCAATAAACCACCAGAAAACCGGAAGTGGCGCTGTAGCTCAAGTGGTAGAGCGCTCGCCTTGAGCTGAAGAGCTGAGGGACAGCGCCCAGGCCCAGAGTTCAAGCCCCACGACCGACAAAAAAAAAAAAATAAAAAAAAAATGTACTCATTATCTTGCCCATGTAATTGTAACCCCTCTGTACAGTATTTTCATAATAAAAAAAATTTTAAAAAAGGAGCTATATATCCTCAGTGAGCCACCACTGTGAGGAAAATGAGGCGACGTGAATAGTTCCAAGGCCCTGGGCTTGGGTAGTGAAGGGGCACTCACAACTAAAACATCCAGAGATAACAAGTAAGTGGGAGAATGGAGCTGTAAAGGGAACGCATCTGGGATAGAACAGGGAGGTAGATCCAGGGCTGAGGATGGAAATAAGGTGCATGTGTGTGTGTGACTGTGAATAGTTACAGCAGATTCTTGCCTGATGCTGGGACCAACGGACTTTTCTTCCATCTCAGCTCTAGGGCGATGTGGGGGACAGTGAGTGGGAGTGGCAAAGAGCCTCACTGGAGACTGCCCTGCTGCAGGGCAAGGGGTCCAAAGTGGTTCCTGTCTCGTGGAACTGCACCGTGAAACCTTCCCGTCACTAACCTGTCCCCATTGAGCTCAGAAAAGTCCCTTGTAGAGCCTGTGCTTCTTCCTAAGCTTGGGATTCAGCCTTTCCCCTAAAGCCTGGATCTCCCTCCCAAGGCCCAACTAGTCCACACCCTGTAGCCCAGGCCTCTGCCTCCACTTCCAGCCTCCTTCTGCAGCCTCATCTGCATTTAACATGCCTTGTTGGGCTGTGGCAGGGAATACTCAACAGACTCGTATTAAAAATGCCCTTTAAAATTCAAAAGCTTTGAACTAAAGAAATACCTCAAGAAGTTTTCATGGAAAGTTCAGCTCTGCTGGTTCAATTCACTACACTTAGATGCACCTTTTCAAATAATAGGGAAAAAATGTAACAGGGTCAGACCCAATCAATATACTTGTTCAAACAGAATTGCGGGGACTGTGATGTGCGCACATTTTGTGCTCTGCCTTTGTACCTTGCCACTCGCTCTGAAGAAAGGTTTCTTTGCTAGAGGAGCAATGAAAGTGGGAGCCTTTTGAGAGGAGGCGGCAAAAGCGTGGCGTGTTTACCACACTGGGAGGGGCTGCCATTTTTCATGTTTTCCCAGCCTGATCCCTTTGTTCTTTTCATATTGATGACGTGCAACCCACATTGGCAAAGTCCCCTGCAAAGCCCCACATCTGATGCTGAGTTAAACAGAGGGCTCCTAGCATTGGCCTGCTGTATCTCAGAAATGTGATTTGTAGATTAGACAAATAATTTGCCTCCTCTTTCCCACCCTTGGTGTGAACACAAAAGGACTTACCACAGAGTACTGTGCTTTGGTTCAGGAAACTCCCAGAGCCCAGGATGCTCTTGTCTGGCTGAGAGAGGATCTGGATCCACTCTCTCCCCTCCTCTACATACCTTCCTTCTCTAAACTGACCGGGAAAGGCTGCAGGCCCCTGGATCGCACCTGTGGACAGATGATTCCTTGGCCTTGAGCTGCCATCAAAAATAGCCAGGATAAACAACTCCAAAGAAACCAGCTTACCTGAAGACAGCCAAGGCCTTAGCAGGAAGGGAAGGGGCCAGATGCAGCTCACACACCCTCAGCCAGCCCCCAAGGCAGGCAGCAGAGGGAATGGCAAGAACTAGATGTTTGTTTTCCGCGTCTAGTTGGTGTGTCCTCACAAACTGAACATACAGTACCATCATTTAAATGATGTCTGCTGTACTGAGGACACTGACAGTCTGGGAGGATCAAGTAGGGGTTAGGAAAAGACTTTATTCCTATCCTAATCCCTGTTTGAGACTAGATCTTAAAATGGTCTTGTTGGTTCTTACTAAAAAAAACAGTCATCCTGGGCCTGAACCTAGGTTAAAATTAGAATTAAGAGGTCACCAAATGGATGTGAGAAGAGTGAATTTACATTCCCTTCACCAGCCGCAATCCCACTGTTTCTCTGTCCAGAATCTAGGTTTCCATGTCAGGAAGTGAAGTTGGACTCTCTGGAGTTTTCCAGCATCACCCCCATCCTGAAGTATGCACAGCGCCTTCACGAAGGCCCCATCTTACCTGTGACAGCCAGAGAATCAGTCCCTCTTGGAGGTAGAAAAGGGCCAGGCCATGCTGTCTCTTACACAGATGAACTGGCCTGTAGCTTTTCTCAACCATGGTACTTTCTGCCTGCTGTAACTGAGGGCCTCTCACACTCGGCAGATTGAAACTGATTCTCATAGCACAGTCTATACCCATTCCCCGACAGAACATTCTGGAAAAGGCAGCTAGTGTAGCCATGTTCCCTCATACACAGGATTGCATGTGTGAAACAAAAAACAAGACCAACAGTAAAGAACCATTGATAGGCTTTTGCAGAGAAAATGTCCACAGATGGTGAGCTGTGGGATGGTTATTATGGCTCTTGCTTCTTGTGGGCTTTTTAATTTTTATATTTGAAGCCATTGCACTCAGTCTTGGAATCATCTCCTCACCCCTTTCATCTGTTATGGAGACATTTCCAACTAATGTTTAAAACTAGAGAAGTGTTTCTTTTTTTTTTTTTAACTTTAAAATTAAGATCAGTGTCTATAAAAGCAGTGGTATCTTCTGTCCAAAGTGTCTTGGAATCTACTTTCTCCAGTTTAAATACTTGGAAAGTCATTCCAAACCTCGGATGCTCTTCTTGGCAGTGAAGAAAAATGGTCATAACAACAAGCTTTGAAATATACACATCCCTAAACCAAACTGGCCTCCTGCCTTCTGCTTTTAGCATACATCACAAGTCAAAATGAATTAAATGCAAATCCAGTTTGCAATGGTCCGTCACTAACTCGCTTCATTGGGATGAGCCCGTGGTGTGTGGGTTGGACAGGGGCCCGGGCATCCCCAGTGCTGTCTTGGATTGGATTACAGTCTGCCTGCCAAATTGGCCCCACACAAGAGTCCACAGTCTGGTGGCTCCTTGACTAGGGTAGGGTGGAGGGCACCCTGTCTAGTTGCCAAAACCTACCCTGCTTTCTCCAGGCCTCCATAGTCATTCAAGTGTCAAGGAATTGTCATCAGGAAAAACAACCCAAGTGCTGAAGAACCAGACAAGCAGCTGGAAGAGGTGATACTGAGGATTTTCCCAAGAAATGAAAAAGCACACAAGCCATCAGGAGAGAATTTAGTCAGCAAGAAGCAGGAAACACATCGGGTTAATATTTTAATCTATGTATCACTTTTTTTTTTTTTTTGCAAACCATTAACACTTTTATTTAAATTAGCTTTTTCTCGCAAAATATTCATTTCCTTTTTCCAACAAAATCTTATAAAGGCAAAAAATAAAATTTTATTTTGGCAAATGTCATGAAGTTGATACTGGCAGCATATGGAGTTAGTTAAAAATAGTAACTTCTAAATATATTCAAGATTTTTTTTTTCTGAGCTTAGTCAAATTTTCATCTAAAGAGTGGCTCCACCCAACAGAGGTAATTTTTTTTTCCTTTTTAAACATTATTTCTTATATGAAGAATATCATGAGACAACTTAAATAAAGGACCAGAAACACTTAGCCTGGCTTGGTGGCCGCCTTATTTGGGCTGAAAGTCAAGTCAAAGTCTTGCCATCTTGGCCCTCCTGGTGACAAGCGCTTTGCCTGTTCTCTTCCCAACAGACCCATGCCTAGGGAAGCTGTCCTGGATTTCTCCAGGGAAGACAACAGAAGTTCTCCTGTCTGGAGGGACGTCATTCAGTCAGGCACCTTTAGGTAGACTCCACCCAGTGTGGAGTTTATTGCTCTGATACAGTACAGTTGCTTCTTCTTACCTTTTCTGTGTATCTTCGATGTATGTTTTCTAATGAAGCCAATTTTGTTGTTGTTGTTTTTTCTGAGAAGAGTGCTTTGCTTAGGGAAACTTTGCTGAAGTTGTGGAGTCCAAAGCTCTTGAACAGTGTTGTCCTAAACCTAAACCACGTCCAAGGCATAGAATGGCTCCATGCACAATCCTGGTAGAGATGCACCCACAGCGGGCTGTCACGTCAGGGATGCTGAGCTCTATAGCCGTGGTCCCCTCTTTTCCTGGACAACATGCCAACAAATCTGATGTAATCTCAAGCCCAATTTTCACCTGAGTTCATTAGCAATAGGACTGGCCTCTGCTTTCCCTCCAATCCCTACCTGCTATTCCAGTAGTACCCGAATCTATAAGCACAACTAAAAAATCCTGCAGCCTCACCTTTCTAGCCACTCAGCCCTTGAGATGAACATTATAAAATACATTCTGATTCTAAAATACAGTGTCAGTATTTTACAGCCTATGTCAAAAGTGCCTTTGTCACATGTAAAAAGGAGTCTGAACTAAACAGGTGGGTATATGTTGGACCGATCCCTGTGAGCAATGCCCCGTGTTGGGCTGTTTCTTCTGCCAGCCAGGACCCCTGCTTAGCTGGAAGCGTTTTCTGAGGGGGAAGAATAGCTGATCTCCTGGGAGGAAGCTGATGCCAGTGGGCCCCCGATTCCAGGCTCCTCTGCGCACTGGGCCAGTCATGGATCAGTCACTGCCTGGGCTGACAAAAAGCACAAGAGACAATGAGAAGCTGGAGATGCCATGTTCATGTCCAGAGAGTTGGCGGTGGGCATGTCTGTGCACACATGACAGGATGGCAGACAAAGCAGCAGAGCAGGGAGCTTAGGCATTGAGGCCGCTTGTGAAGGGACCCGGGGCTTCTAGGAGTCATCTCGGTATGGGACTTTACTCCCTCTCTAACTCTTGATACATGCTGGCCCTAAATTGGTTCCTTGTGCACTAGGGAAAAGGACCTGGGCAAGACCCTGGAGTTATCATGTCTCTACCTCTTCATTCACGGAATGACTGTATGGATCTCATTTGTCTCACCTAAAAACAGAGTGGTCAAATGCTCCCCTAACAAAGCTGCTCAAGAAAAACATGGATAGCCTCTGAAATGCAAAGCAATGGATGGGCGGGATGGGGCGGGGGTGGGTGGAGAAGGTGATGGTCAAGAGCAAGAGGGAGTGGAGACTCTCCAAAGTCTGTTCCTGCACCAATGTCTCCCTGCTCAGGTATTAGGAGAAACCACAAACAGGCTCGTGACACCAGTTGACACACTTCCCCAAGCTTTTTCAGTTATCGGTCTCTGCTCTCACTTCCTGAGGGCTGAGCCCAACAAGGCTCACATCTTCCTTCGACCTTCAGGCTGCCTGAGGCCCACTGACTACTCCAAAGCTGAGGGAACACCTGGGCTGAGGATGCCTACCAAAGATCAAGCCCTCACCCCCAGCAATGCAAATACTGTCCCTCACTAGTCTTGTAGAGCTCCCAGACAAGTCCATGAGTGGTGATGGAGAACAGAGGCTCTGGGCTCACACCAAAGGGCTGTGAATCCTCACACTTACAAGCTGCGACTCCTTGGGAAAGTCCCTCAGGTCTCTGAGCTTCGTTCCTCATCTGTAAAATGGGGAGTGAATGGGGTTGTTGTATGGCTCCAACTATGCTTGGCACATAGTAGGCATTCAACAAGATGAACCATAAGCATGTATGAAGGGCAGAGAGGGGAATGCTTTACAGATGACAAGTTGGGCTACCAAGGATGGGCCTGCCAGGATCCCTGGTCTGACCTTCCATTGTCAAAGTGAGGCAATGGGCTCAGTCGCAGCAGCAGCACACGTCAGCTAGACACTTAGTCTGTGGGCTCCTGCCCTGCTCTGTTCCTCATCTCCTAAAGCTCAGGGGAGCAGGTGGTACTGGAACATCCTGCCTCACTAGGGCCAAGTCACATGGCCCTGGGCTCCCCCTTTTCTCCTCCCTATGGTGTTCAATGTCAAAAACAACATGGTCAGTGACACCAGTACTGGGGGACCTAGAATGAGCCCAATCACCACACTAGGCCTCAGCTTCACCATCTGTAAACCTGGACTTTTTCCAGTCTGGAAGTTCCTTAATTGCCCCAGCTAAAGCCCTTTTTCTTCATCCCTGGAGTCTGGCAGCATGAGCTATACTGGCCCATGAGGTATCATGCCGCCCTTGGCAGCAGAGCAGGATGAGAGGACACACTGCAATCTGGAGACTCAGTGAGTGATGCAAGGGGCTGGATGGCAGACCATTGTGTTGGGGCCCCTGGAGACTGAGTTTCTGTAAAGCCCTAGCTCTTCCACTTGCCTACCATTTGGGCACCACAACCCCCCACTCCCCAACGGCCGCAGTACCAATGGAGGAAGCGTCAGCAGGCAGCACTGCAGTTAGCTCATGGCAGCGGGAAGGAAGGAGGGGCATGCTCACACTAGGCACAGCAGTGATCAGCACGGGGACCCAGGCGAGCTCTTACTTGGAAGGTGTTAGACAAAGGTGTAGTGGAGTCCGTTGCTTAAGGGGGGGTAAGGTGGCACCGTCCTGGAGGACAGGGGGCCTTTAGGCGGGAGGAGGGCCAGCTGCTGCACTAGACGGAGCACACAGGAATCAAGCGACGTGTTAGACTCATCTGCCCCCACAGAACCAGATGCCCCACTTTCCAGGACAGGGTGGCCTGGACCCCAACGTAGGCTCCACTGCCACCCACTAATAGCCTGTGTCTGGATTGCCTGTAGTTTTTGATGATGTCCTGAGATGGGAGAGAGCAAGGCAAGGCAAGACGCAGAAGATCATCACTGAATGGGCAGTGAGAAAGGCTGGCCATCGCGTGGAGGGTGTGAGGGCAGGAGTGCTGGTCCGCTGTGGAATGCGGTTGGGGACGGGCAGGGGCAGATCCAGAGTCAGAGCGAGCACAGCAGAGAGGAGGGCTCCTCCTTAGGAAGGAGCTCAGAGGTTGCTGGGATGAGCTCCAGGATCATTAGGAAGAAGGGTCTGGATGTCTGACCACCTCTCAGCTCACTCAGCATATCCTTGAAGGGAATGGAGGTGGAAGGGATTTCAGGGACTCAGCTCAATTAGGATACAGGGGACAAAACTCAGGCCCTTCCTTTTGTCATTGGCCAGTCCCATGACCTGCAGCATGCAAAGCTGCTCCCGTACCAGGAACTTCCCAGGACCAATAACCATAATCTACAGGCCCCATCTTAGGCCACTTCTCAATCCTGTGGTCAGGACTGGAGCACTGGAAGAGACTGTGATGCCACTTCAGATTTTATGACTGCTCGGATCCCTGAAGGAGCACAGCTGGCCAGGGGCACACCCTAAATGCAGTCTGTGGGTGCAACTGCGAGAAACAACACTAGGTAGACTGGAAAGGCACCCACCCAGGGGGAGGTGTGGGTAGAGGGAAGCCCTTTTCCTGGCTGAGAGAAAGCAGTCTTTTTACAAACATACAGGCATGTGTGCATGTGTGCGTGCGTGCACACACACTTCTACAGCACGGTGATAGTCTTTCCAACTGGCCAGCAAATCCACACTTCCTGAGTCCTGTGTTCTGGCCTGCCACACTTGGATAGGATAAACAGTGGTTTGGTTTATGGACCTGAACAGGGCTAGAGGGGCCTCTTCTGTCTTGCCTTCAGCAAGCAACTACAACACTAAGGAGTTTTCTGACCCCCTTCTCCATAAGGACACACACTTTAGACCCCGCCCTTTGATTCAAGTGCGTAAAAAAACCTAAAGTCAAATAGCAATACCAATCCCTCCAGAAACAAGATCCCCTCTAGGCAGAAGAACACACTGCTGGCTTTAACTGCCAACTTCTATTGACTCCCTGGCTCTGGGATGGGCCATGCTAGGAATAAGCCCCAAGGAACAGAGAGTAAGTACAGAGAACTGGGAGCTGGCACCCACAGCCTTACCTGCCACCTGCTTGCTGCGCTGGGAGGCCTCAGAGGCCAGGGCATAGGAGATGTTGATGATGCGTTCCTGCTCCTGAAGTTGTGAGTCCAGGTCGGCCAGGCTATTTCGGTCCTGACCTGATGTTGGCTGCAGGTTGCACATGCTGCAAGGTCCAGAGAACAGACATTGGCCCTCACTTGCCCTGAGCATGAGCCTCAGGAGACAGGAGGTTCTCAATAATTTGGTGGGGAGGACACTGGGGGGACACTGTGGGTATCAGATATAAACAGCACTTTTTCTAGAGATACAGAAGTACATGCTTCTTCCCAATAATCATAGCTTTGTTCTTGTTTTAGGAAGGGCACAGGCCTTATGTTAAGGGTACCTGACTAATTCAGACACAAAACAGCTAATTCAAGCTGGGTGCCAATGGCTCAAAAGTGAATTCCAAGCTACTCAGGATGCTGAGGATCATGGTTTGAAGCCAGTCTGGGCAGGAAAGCCCTTGAGATACTCATCTCCAATTAACTACCAAAAACAAAAACAAAACAAAACAAAACAAAACCCGTAAGTGGAGCTGTGGCTCAAGTGATAGAGTGCTAGCCTTGAGCAAAGAAGCTCAGGGACAGTGCCCAGGCTCTGATTTCAAGCCCCAGAAGCAACATATGCACATGCACGCACAGACACATACACACACATACACACATAGCTAACATAGCTCTCAATGGATCATGGGACAGAAAAGCCATCTTTGAGGATCCCAGTTCTATATCCAAGGTAGGCTAAGGCTCTGGTTCCCTCAGGACAAGACTGAGACTCCTGCTCTGATCTTGGGGTCTGTGTGAAAAACCATAGGCCCAAATGCTCAGAGAACTGTGACTAGAGCTGATATCCAACTAGATCTTCATGGCCACACTTGGTTCTACTTCAGTCATTAGGGTCAGTCATTTAGGGGTGAGGGTCAAGAACAGGGTGTCCCTTGGGTTTTCAGAACTTTGCAAGTGTTCCAGGCTGATGTGAATTGCCTCATCTAATGAGTGTAGCCCTCCTGAGACAAAGCATACACCCAGCCAATCTTCCCCCCCCCCCACCATAGATGAGACACTCCCCATGGCCAGGGCTGCCCAGACAGGAGCAAGTGAGGGCTGACCTTGACCGAGCTAAGATGTTGCGAATCTTTTCGGCTTTTCGATACCGTGCTTGCAGCTCCTCAAGGCTGGGTGGTTCTTCCGGATCCAGCTCCACATAGCGCTCGGGGATGGAGACCTTCTCAGGTTTGGAGAGCTGGGAGAGGCCCGGGAAGTAAAGTAGAGGGGAAAGCTCAGATGTTCTTGTTTGGCACCCACTTTCCCACCCCTTCCCCAGGCTGAAATGAACAGAGTTCACAGACGTGGAATAGTTTGCTAATTAGCCAAAGTCAGTCAACTGTAGAATTGGAATTTGAATCTGGGTCTCATGCCGGAGCCCACATTATTGCCACTGCACAAGACAACCTCCTATAGACCAAGAGAAGGGAAAATGAGTGCAAACAAAGGAAACAGCTGCACTGAGGCATTCGGTAGAAAACTGTAATCCTTAGAGCAGGCTAGAAGCCCTGATCGGAACCTCTGTAGCCTCCCAGGCTCACCAACCCAGCAATTTGCCCATGTCCCTCCCAGCACAGGGACTCCGTCCCTGCTCGCCCCTGCCTGGGGCACTCTTCTTTCACAACCTCACCCTGAGAAGCCTTCTCTGATTCTTCTCTCTATCCCCAACTGTCTAATGCAGGGACCTGGCACTTCGTAGCCCAGCCCTTCGTGGATAGATGACAAATAAAGAAATGGAAAGATAAAAGGAAGTGACACTGCAACCTGTCCTACAAAAAAAAAAAAAAAAAGAAATTCTTCTAGCTGGGCGCTGGTGGCTCCCGCCTGTCATCCTAGCTACTCAGGAGGCTGAGTTCTGAGGATCACAGTTCAAAGCCAGCCCAGGCAAGGAAGTCTGTGAGACTTACCTCCAATAAACCACTAGAAAACCAGAAGTGGTGCTGTGGCTCAAGTGGAAGAGTGCTAGCTTTGAGCTGAAGAGCTGAGGGACAGCACCCAGGCCCAGAGTTCAAGCCCCACGGCCGACATAAATAAATAAATAATTCTTCTAATCTAGATAGTAGGCAGCTCTACTATATCTACTGTTTTCTAGGGCAAATGGCCTTGAACTCCTTCTCTCTCCAGTATCTTACTCTCACAGTGTCAAACAGCTGGATGAAATCTTGTTCAAAGTGAAAAACTACTGCTAAAGTCAACTCTTGCATGCTCATATTAAAATAGGAGGGGCTGGGAAGGTGGCTCAGTGGTAGAGCGCTTGCCTTGCATGCATGAGGCCCTGGGTTCGATTCCTCAGCACCACATAAGCAAAAAGAAAAAAGCCGGAAGTGGTGCTGTGGCTCAAGTGGTAGAGCACTAGCCTTGAGCTGAAGAGCTGAGGGACAGCGCCCAGGCCCAGAGTTCAGGCCCCATGACTGGACCCAAAAAAATAAAATAAAATAAAATAGGATTGGTTGGAGATTCCAGAAACAAGCCAAATCCAGTTATGGAACAAATCTGGTCTTAGATTTGTCAAAGGAAAAAACAACTGGTCTAGGTGCACATGAAATGAGTCTGTAGAAAGGCTGAAACAAGGACACAGGATGACCCATTGCAACAATGATACACACAAGACAGTATGTTGGAAATGAACTTTACAACTTTGGGGAGTGGGGAGGAGTAAGGAGGTGGGGGAGGAAGAGATAGTGGGAGAACAACAAAGGAGGGGGTAGCAATGCTGGACAAGAAATGGACTCATTGCCTTGCTCATGTAACTGTAACCCCTCTTTACAGCATCTTTACAATAAAATTTTTAAAAATGAGTCTAGCCACTGCTAAACAGACCTCAGACACAAGTGCAGCCCATCCTTTGAGCAAGATGCAGAGTGCAAGCTGGACTTTGAAAGGTTAACTCCTGCTTACTTTCTGCTCTTCAGATCCCTTCCCACAAACGGCTCAGAGACTCAAAGTACACCACATCCCTTTCTTAAAAAACAGCTTAACTTCTGCCAGCACCAATCATAATTCCTGACCAAGCCCCTTGCACTTGAAAGCTATAAATATACCTATTATTTTGTAAAACTTTGGAGCCCACTTTCAGCACTGCTTAAATTTAATTTTTCTTTTTTTTCCCCTCTGATCTCAACTAGGCTTTTATTCTGTCTACATATTTAAATTCATGCAGCCTTGTACTTTGCTGAAAGATGGCAAGTAATAAACTCTTCTCTGTTGTTTCTACTAAGGACAGAACTAGAGGAAGCAGATTGCATTGTAACAGGAAGGATTTAGGTTAAAGATAAAGAAGGACTCTTTCCCTGGGCCAGCTGGGACACTAGGGTGCACCCTTGCACTTGCCAAGGCAGTATGTGAAGTGTTCTTTGTCACTGAGAAATCATAGACTTTTGGCTGTTTTCTGACAGAGGGGGACTAGCCTTGTTAGCAGATAGAGACCCACTAGAACTGAGAACTTAGCAACTCCACAGACATCTATTATCCACAGTGCTTCTTAATTCTCAAAGATGCTTTGGGGTCCCCAATCTACTGGCAGTAACCACTGGCAAAAACAGCTGGACTGTCCCTTAAAGAAAGGAGAAGAGGAATGAAGATGTACCTTACGGGTACAGCATTTGTCTAGTACCTGTCACGCCCTGGGTTCAATCTCTAGCACCACAAAAATAAACCCAAACCCTAAATTAGCTTTTAAAAAAACCCCAAAAACCCAAATAACAAGCAACAACAACAATAAGCCAACCAGAAAGGTGTTGAGTGTTTAGCAGTTCAGCTCTCTTTCCCTTATCAAAGGGACTCATAGAGAAGTTTTATTGAGGAACCACCAAAATCTATACTTTATGTGATGACACCGTTCTTCTCATGCAGTTTTTGCCAATGTTTTCAGACATTTGTGGGTCACTGTGTGATTCACTCAATAGTTTTCCTTCAACAGATATTTACACCTACATTGTGCCACTCAGTGCTATGGAAACAGATGTGTGCCATGCAGCAATTAGACAATGCTCTGCAGAGGGTACAAATGATACAATGAAGGCCATCAGAAGTTATGGATGTCTAGAAGAGTCTGAGTCTGTTACCCCTGTTAAGTCTTCACTTGCTTTCCTGGGTTTTCCCTGCCATGATGTATGCATGCCAGCAGAGGGCACTTGAGGAATTCAGACCAGAACCCTGTGAAGTCTTCTGGCCTCTGTCATGGTTGGAAATTTTACATGTGATTTTGAAGCTTATGTTTTTCTCTTGAGTCTGATAAGCCAGGTCAGCATGACTGACTGATATGGTCAAACCTTGGTGCTTCAGGAACATTTAAGTAAAACAGAAACTACCCATCAAGATGCCTAGTCTGTGTGAGGCTTTCTAATCCCTCCTAAGAACATGCTGAATCACGTAATCCTCACCACACTTGCTGAGGAAAGCCAGGATTCAGAGAAGGTACAATTACAATTTTCTCCAAATGACAGAGTTAAATCTGAACAATAATCAGATTAGTGTTGGTTTTATTGCTCCTTTTATGGCTACACGTTGCTATCTATTCATGCTCTTGGACTAAAGTGAAATCAAGACCAGATCTCTGTAGGACTGCTGAGTAGGCTGGGAGCCTTGAACAACGCAACTTCTGGGGGTCATGAAGGAAGCCCCTGCCCTCACCTCTCTGCTGATGTCCAAGTCATAGTCTTGAGGTTCCAGGTCCAACTCTGTGACAGGCACAGCCTGAACTTTCAACCAGCCATTCTCCTCGTCCTTTCTTTCCCCTTGCATGGCCCGTTCCAGCAACTGCAGGTCAAAGTCCTGCTCTCGCTTCCACTGGCAACAGAAGGTTAAGAGGATTAATTGCAGAGGCTTTGTGGACATGGGGTCCTTAGGCAGATGGACCTCTGACCTGCTCTGGAAAAGCTATGTTCCATAACATGACATGTAAGGACAAACAAGGCCTCTGTCTCCTCTACACCGTCTGAGTCCTATTTGTTCTCTGATCTGGGTCCCAAGAAAGTTCAAATGTGTACCCTTAGGATACAGGTTGAAGACCAAGACTACATGATTTCTGGCTCACAGTGGTTCACAGGGATCCAGAATATTCCCAGGTCTGAGAACATGAGTCCCAAAGAGAATCTGGGAAAGAACTCTACAAAATGGTTTTGCCTTTTCTGCGGATCATTAATTCATGAAAGACTTTCTGGGTTTGGGACTCATATGCTCCAGAGGTTAAGAAATAATAGGGAAAAAAAATTGTAAGCTCTTTATGGCCCTGCTAAGCAAGTCAGATAACCAAGAGTCTCTCTATTGGGTTTTCCCAATAGGACTCTCTCAGGGTGAGTAAAACTGCACCCACAGCAGGCCTGAGAAGATGAAGAAAGGGCAGGCTGGAGCCTGAGAGGAAGACAAACTGCCATGGAAGAGCTTATCTATCTAATTTGGGTCAATGTTCTCTTTAAATTACAAGAAAAACTAAATAGTATAAAATTGAAATGCTCTTATCAAATGCAATGGTTCCAAGGTTGATAGTATCAACTTTGTAACCAGCATCTGTTTGCATGAGGCAGAATTTAAACCTAATCATTTTAAGATGTAAGCATGACTGTCCAGCTCTGAGATGTATTCTGCTCACTTGGGCCTTTGCATACTAATCAGGTGGCTAAGAATGGAACAGCTCAAGGCCTGTGTTCTCCACAGATCCTTATGCATCCCAGATGACTTCTTCCCTCCCACCTCTCCCATTTCACCAAGTCCCAACTCTCTTGTTGCCCCTTGAGTCCTTCCAAACCCCAATCTCAAAGCCATATCAGCACATTTCACCCATTCATGCACAAGCTCTCAATACTGACTCTGCAACAATGTAATAAATCGTGGATGATATTTTTCCAAATATAGTTTGAAAGGATTAGGCACTTGGGAATTTGAAGATGAATTAATTTAATGATTTACAAAGAAAACACATATTTTCTTAGATGCTCACAAGTGCTTCAAATAAAAACAAGCCCTCATTTAAACCCAGCCTGATTGTTTCTACCAACAAGAAAAGTACACTGGACTCTACAAAGTAACCCTGGGGAAGAACCACGCCAATCCATCATTGTTAAGCAACACGTTTATTGGCGTTGATGCCGAGACTTACATGTCTTTTTTTTTTTCCAGAGAAAAATTACAATGTATTCAAGTGATGTTTTTTGGATAATATCTACAGTTGAGACACCATGTTGTCAAAGGTCAGTGTTATCCCATTATGACATTTGTTTATTTAAAAAGTTACCAGGTTTGCAGCTTTTAAAGATATGACTGTCCTGAATCTAGTCCTTTGTGCTTGGGCTAACAGCTGCTGAGCGTCCCTCTGCACACATAGTTTATTTTTGATATGTATTCAAGTTACTAAATGTCAGAAACACAAAAGTTTTCCATAAGAAATTGTGTGATAGATGAAAGGAATTAAAACCATATAACCTCAGATGTGGTGGAACTTGTTCAAATGTATACTCGCTGAAGTCTATCTACTATCTAGGTGTAAGGCATGAATTTCCATAAATTCATAATACCCTGACCTCTGCCAGTGACTATGGTCCTCACACAGAGGGTTGGCTCAGGGACTCTGGTACAGCTTTGGGGAGTAGTAAATTATGAGTCAGTAGGCCAGATGAAGGAATTCAGGGAAAAAGGCGAGTCACATTTGGAGGTGGTTACTAGGCTAGGGAGATAAGCGCTGCTATTTACAAGCCTGGTAACAAACAGCACAGGCCAGTTAGAGACTGTTCAATGCAAATCAGAAGCGTCTGTAAACACAATCAGGCAGGATTAGAGAGGCAATAAGCAACAATACTAAAAGCAAAAGAGCTTGTGCAATGAATTAGGGAAAGAACAGTCAGGCTAGAGAGCTAGGGTAACGTGACATTCTACACTCCAAAGTCAAAATGGCATATTTCCAAAAAGGGACTTAAGGCAATGGTGGATAGGTGCAGCTCTGGAGAGCACCACCAGGGAGCAGCACTGGGTCTTCCCTCCCCCAACTCTCCTGGGCACCTGAGGCCTCCGCACCACAGGCAGGGAGACCACCAGCCCTCAGGGTTGTGGGATGCCACCCTTGCTCAGTTGCCTTCCCCTCCTCCATCACTTGCTTGGAAGTTTGCGAGGCTGGTTGTTTGGTTTGTACTTATCAAATCCTGTTACCATCTTTCTCCTTCGCTTCATCTACCTTGTATTCCCAAGTCCTCAATTCAGCTAAGAGATCCCAAATGCCCACAGAGGCCTCACACACTTGGCTGGAGGAAATGACTGGGTATCTGCTAATATCCTAAGCCTCTGCTGTGAGATCTCCTGCTCTGCTTCCGGGTCACCCTCTGACCAGCTCACACATGCACCCTGGGTTGTGGACAAACAACCTGTGGGATGTTCTCAGCCATCTCGGGGGGGTGGGGGGGGGGGGTGATGCCTGCCCTAGAGGGATGTGGGGAAGCTCTGCTCAGCTTGAGGAAGGACGGTGCTCCCTGTCCCATTCCCGCCTGCCTAACATACTGAGCCGAGATCTCCAGGCAGCATCTGGCTGAGGTAGCGAGATGAGGGCAGGCCTGTCCGCTCTCCTTGACTCAGTGTCCTCTTGCGTTCCCGGACGAGCGCCTTCTGGTGCCTCTTCATGCGCTCGAGCTGCTCCTCTGCGCTCATCTTGCCCCGCTGGTGGTCCCCTGAGTACAGGCGCTCCAAGGCACTCTTGGGTCTCTGAGGAGGAAGGTAAGAGGCACACGGAGCTGTTGGACTACTAATAACCCAGTGGGCAGCCGCCCTGGACTTCCATCCTTGTTCTTAAGCGCTCCATCTGTCTATTGACAATAGTTGGGCTGTGTCACACACACTACTTTAGAGAATCACTTCTCTGAACACCATGATGTCCCTGGCCTGCACAAGCCATCTGGCCAGCACCCCATTCTGCAGATGTCAACATTGAAGCCCAGGCCTGCCCAGCTACATATGCATTCAGTAAATCATGATGAACCCATCATGCAGCCTTCCTGGGGTTACCTCCTGTCACCCTGTCAGGTTGGAGACAGAAAGATGAGGTCCTCAGAAAATCCAGAGGGAAGTGTTATGACTATGTTGGTGGGCAATGGGTGACAGGAGCCCTGACTCATGGGGGTGGGGGGGGTCTGAGGTCTCCTTGGAGGCCATCCTTAGTGCTTGTAGGATTGCTAGTCACTTCCTAGCTCAGAGCTCTTCCCTAGCTTGAGGCCACACACTGGGAAGCTTACCTTGCTGTTTTCAGGATTTAGACCCCTCCGGAGCGTGACGTAGGGAGCAATAGTAGATGACTGCTGGAGCCTTGATGTGGACCCAGAGAGCCCTTAGGAAAGAAAGTGTCAGTGTCAGCATATTTGTATCCCTCTAATATAAAGTCTACTCCCAAGAGGGACCAAGAGAACCAATAACCCATTTGTCTTTCTCCTTGGGTCTAGAAGAGCCAGACCCTAGGTAGAGGGTGAGGGTCAATACAAAGTTACCCTCTGTCCCCAGAGGGGTGACAGCATCCCTGCTGATTTGTGAACTATAACATAGGATTCCCTTTCATGCAGAAGCTCTAGTTGGAGGGGGGAGGTACAAGTGCCCTTCACCCCTCTGTTTCCTGGAGTAATCTTACACATTCTGCGTAACCAAGACTGGGATAAGGAAGGACAGAACAAAGGAGCCCAAGTGAGAAGAATCTGTGTTTAAGAAAGGACTCACTGGGTTCTGGGGTGACATGAGAGGGAAAATTGTTCTGGAAGGCCTGATGGTAACATTTCCCGGAATCCCAGGATTCATCTGTCCAGAGACAGCATTATCTTCAGGATCCCACACAGATCAGCTAATTGGCTCTTGTTTAATTTCTCTGAGATTTGAGTTTCCTGATGTCTACATCCTTTATAACATTATTGATGATAGGTGTGTGTGTGTGCATGCAGCTAATTGGCTCTTGTTTAATTTCTCTGAGATGTGAGTTTCCTGATGTCTACACCCTTTATAACACTGTTGATGATAGTGTGTGTGTGTGTGTGTGTGTGTGTGTGTGTGTGTGTGTGTGTGTGTGTGTGTGTGTGTGTGTGTGTGTGTGTGTGTGTGTGTGTGTGTGTGTAAGCAGTGTCGGGCTTAATGGTAGTAGAGCTTTTAAATATTGCTTGTGGGAAAGAGGTAGAAGAGACAAAGAGTCAGGAAGTGGGTCCGAAGGATCATAGCTACATTTGGGTTCAGTGTGGTGGAGTTGTGGGCTTTTCAAAACACTCCAAAAAGGGTCTTGCCTTACCTCTGCCTGGTAGCGTCTGGTACCTGCTCTCTGTGCCCACGAGTCCCAGGGAGGGCTGAGACATGTCCCCACTGAGAGTGGCCAACTCAGGCTCACTAACATATGACCGGAGTTCCACCTGTGGGCAGAGTCTGAGGCTGTCATACTTGTCTGGTGTCACCACACCTAATGAGTGGTCATTTCACTCAGCTGACAACTCAGGGGTGCCTGCCCGGCTCACCTTTGAGTCCCCATTTACACACTGCCCCAGCTCCCGGTCCCGCTTCCTCTCATCCGACTGCCGCTTGAGCCCTCGCACGGAAGTGTGGCGGATGATGGTAGACTCCCTCGGCAGAGGTGGCACAGCTGGGGGCTGGTCTTCTGGACTGTAGAGCTCAGGGAGTGGGGGCCTGGGAGGTGCCTCGTCTTCCTGTTCAAAAAGAGAACCAGAATGCCTGCCTAGTGGGATTACTGCTGAAGGGCAGGGTCATGATACAGTGGCGGTCTAAAGGGCTGGAATAGGCTACTGTGAAGCCACAAAACGTGACTACCTCAGCCAGGATTGTGAGCATTTCTTTTGGAGAGGCTGAAGAGGCGAGATGTCTCTGTTCCAGCTCTCTTCTTCCTCTTGATTCTTGTATATTCTACTATACAGTGTAGATAACCTTTCTCCAACTCCAGGACTGGGGGCCTCCAGGGCCCAAACTCTTGGCATGGTGCTGCACTGCCAGTCTATTTCCTTGGCATCCACCACCCCAGAGGCAGGTTTCTAACTCTGCTGCATTTGAATTGATGTCAGCACCCACCTTGGAGAACAGACAATACTATCTGCTTGGTGGTGCTCAGCCTGAGCCTGGATCCATGACTCTAAATTCTGGATCCTCTAGCAGAGTGAGGATAGTATATCCTCCTGCCCTTTCTCGCAGAAATGTACATGGCTACAAATTAACTTCTGGCTGGGAATGTGGCTTAATGGTAGAATGTTTGCCTAGCACGCATGAAACCCTGGGTTCCATTCCTCAGGACTACATAAACAGAAAAAGCCAGAAGTGGCATGGTGGCTCAAGTGGTAGAGCACTAGCCTTAAGTAAAAGAAGCTCAGGGATAGTATCCAGGCCCTGAGTTCAAGCCCTAGGACTGGTAAAGAAATAAAAAGAAAAGAAAGAAAGAAAAAAAAAGAGGAGATGGGCACTGGTAGCTCATGCCAGTAATCCTAGCTACTCTAGAGGCTGAGATCTGAGGATCATGGGTCAAAGCCAGCCCAGGCAAGAAAATCTGTGAGACTCTTATCGCTAATTAACCACCAGAAAACTGGAAGTGGTGCTGTGGCTCAAGTGGTAGAGTGCTTGCTTTGAGCTGAAGAGCTGAGGGACAGTGCCTAGGCCTAGAGTTCAAGCCTCATGACCAACAGAAAAAAAAGGAAGGAAGGAAGGAAGGAAGAAGGGCAGGCAGGCAGGCAGGAAAGGAGGAAGAGAGGGAAGAAGGGAGGAGAAAGGGGAAAAGTACCTTCTGAATGGACAGAAAGAGGATCAGACAAATGACTCTCACTGACTGCCAAGCCCACTGCCTGGAAGGCAGTAAATGTGACCATTTTCTGTTCATAGTGCTGAGGACCATAGCTCCTCTTCCAATCAGCAGACAGGGCCTGACTGCTAACCACTCATTGATGGCCATCTTGCCTTCTCCTAACTCTTAAGTTCCTTAGTTTAGTTCTATTTTGTTGCGGTTCCTCCCCCAACCCAGGATTTTTCAGAGTTCCAGAAAGGGTAAGATCAGAGAGAGAGAGAGAGACAGAGAGAGAGAGAGAGAAAGAATATCTGGAGAAAGAAGGTGAGAGATGTTTGTTTTTTTGTCGGTTGTGGGGCTTGAACTCTGGGCCTGGGCGCTGTCCCTCAGCTCTTCAGCTCAAGGCGAGCGCGCTACCACTTGAGCTACAGCGCCACTTCCAGTTTTCTGGTGGTTTACTGGAGATAGGAGTCTCATGGTCTCTCCTACCCGGGCTGGCTTTGAACCACGATCCTCAGATCTCAGCCTCCTGAGTAGCTAGGATTACAGGCGTGAGCCAGCAGCGCCCGGCTGGTGAGAGATGTTTTATTATACTCTTTTTTAAATCTTTTAATACTCTTAGAAATTATTATCAAATAAAGATGAAATTAAATTCAAGAAAGTAAGTTAAACTGAATGAGAGACCTGTAGTTAGTTACAAGTAATAATGTGGATGAATCTCACAAATACAATGTTGAAGATGAAGGGTACAAGAGAGTTCAATGGGATTGTTTTTGTTATTGTTCTTTTCTTTTGTTGGTCGTGGGGCTTGGACTCTGGGCCTGGGTGCTGTCCCTCAGCTTTTTAGCTCAAGGCTAGCACTCTGCCACTTGAACCACAGCACCACTTCCAGCTTTTACTGTTTATGTGGTAATGAGGAATCGAACCCAGGGTTTCATGCATGTGAGGCAAGCACTCTACCACTGAACCACCTTCCCAGCACCAAGAGTTCATTGTCATTTAACTGCATAATTAAAATGTTCAGGGTTACAGACCAATAGTCAACTGAAAAGAAAAAGAGTAAAGGAAAAAAAAACAAAAACAACTAACATTGTGGTTGGTCTAGACTGAAAAGGTATTCACAGGCCCGAGGGTGACCTCTTGTTGCTGAAAGGATTTTTTTTTTGGGGGGGGTCCGTGGGTCCTGATCTCTGGGCCTGGGCGCTGTCCCTCAGCTCTTCAGCTCAAGGCTAGCGCTCTACCACTTGAGCCACAGCGCCACTTCCAGCTTTTTACTTTTTGCTTATGTGGTGCTGAGGAATCGAACCCAGGGCCTCATGCATGCAAGGCAAGCGCTCTACCACTGAGCCACCTTCCCAGCTCCAAATGTTTCCTCAAGATGGAAAGATCTGAGGAGCTTCTCTGGCTGGGTCACAGGCCATATCTGGATCCAGCTCTGAGCCTTGGTCCATGGCTGGTAGAAGTGGATGGTGAGGCTGGGGGATCATTCTGTGCTTTCTTCAACCCTTGTGTTCCAACCTCTGTGATCCTGGTCATACCCAGCATCCAAGCAAGGCTCTGCCAAGTCTTTGTTAGCAAAACCTTTCCTGCCACCATTCCCAGGTGCCTTCCATTCTGGCTTCTTTCACTTGAGCCAGACTACTTTCGTTTTACAGGCAAAGGTGGCCTTAATGTGGAGCAGAAGACAATGAGTTACCTTACTACATCTATTTCTTTGAATTCTCCATGTTCCAAGACTCTGAAGAATGTGCACAGAGCTCCTCTCCATGCTAGGCAAGCAAAAGTGTGGACTCAGGTCACTACATGGTTATACACTGGACCTGAGGTCCTGAGGTGCAGGTACAGTTAGATGGCAGATGGCACAGGATAAAAGAGAATGACAGAGATCTAGATAAATCCACTATCTAATACAGAGACCACCAAATTCCAGCACCTGATCTCCTTCAGTTTTCTTCTCCATGGGATTGGTACACTAACCTTCTTGCCCATAGTGCCCAAGGCTCCTGGAAAGATTAAAACATCCTCAGAGTATAGCATAGTGCTCAAGAACAGGGGAGGGTAAGAATACTTTTTTTTTTTTTTTTTGCCAGTCCTGGGGTTTGATTTCAGGACCTGGGCACTGTCTCCAAGTTTCTTTTGCTCAAGGCTAGTACTCTACCACTTGAGCCACAGTGCCACTTCTGGCCTTTTCTGTTTATATGGTACTGAGGAATCAAATCTAGGGCTTCATGCATGTTAGGTAAGCACTCTATCACTAAGCCACATTCCCAGCCCAAGGAGAGATACTCTTTTGCTGGAAGGAGCTTCCTGCCCCTTCCAGGCTATATGATGACAGGAGAGACAGAACCCTCTCTGCATGAAGCAGATCACAATTTCCACCCTAATCATCATAATCATTTCCTCTTGCTGGGACTCGGTTTTCCCAACTGTAATATAGGAGGACAGAGCTAGACCATCTCTCAGAATCCTACTGGTCCAGAGGCCAAGGCACATGGCAGGTCAATACTACCCTTAGCTGCTCTGGACTTTGGATTTCCTGAGGGCTTTAAGCTTGTTCCATATATCCATGTTTCTCCTGGGAGTTTTTCTCCCAAGAGAGGCTTATCTAAGGACAAAAAGGTATAGTCAACTGGGCACTGGTAGCTCATGCCTATAATCCTACCTACTCTGGAGGCTGAGATCTGAAGATCGAGTTCAAAACCAGCCTAAGCAGGAAAGTCCATGAGACTCTTATCTCCAGCTAACCAGCAAAAATGTGCAAGTGGAGCTGTTGCTCAAGTGGTAGAGCACTAACCTTGAGCAAAATGTTTAGGGATAGGGCTAGCACCCAGGTGCTAAGTTCAAGCCCCAGGACCAATTTTTTTTTTTTAAAGGACAATCAGCTAGACAGGAAACAAAGCACTCAGCTCCCGGTCACTACAACTTACCTCTTGGGGCTTTGCTTTAGTTGGTGACTGAAGCGGGGACATCACTTTCCTCAGCTGTGGTGGGTGAGGTCGGTATGGCACATAGGTCTGCAGCTGTGGGAAGAGCCGAACCTCCAAAGGGGTCCTCACAGGGCTGGCGGGAGGGCTGGGCTGCGGGGCCGGCTTGCTCTCAGACATTGAGAGTGAAGGCACAGGTGAGTGAGGAAACAAAGGCACCGTTTTTCTCTCTGAAGACAAGGAGAGAAACAAGGACAGGATGGAATAAAGGCCCCCTTGAATGACAAATGAGGTGATAGCACCATGAAGACAGCCTCCAAGGTTCATGTCACCCATCCCACTTCTCAGAAGATGTCCCCACCTGGGTTTTTGACGGACTCCACCAGGACTCGGTAGTTCTCTTTATTTGCACTCAGGCCTGCAAGGACGTCTTCAATCCTCCATAGATCCTTCTGGATCTGTGATTTCTCCTGGTGGAGACAAGGTGGCAGTTCAGTACCTCTCAGCTCCTAACTAGAATTTTCTTCTTGGAATTTGTCCTGTCATATTCTAGACAGGACCCCTTCCTCTAGGGGTGGCACCTCTTTATAAACCACACTTTGGCTAGTACCATGCTGCTACAGCTTTCTAAGGAAGGGCACACATGAAAACTTCCCAAGGTCCAGAGAAAAACTTGGGAGCAGGCTCTCCTCAGTTAGGTCAACTTCTACCTAATTTAATAGTGCAATGCTTTAAATACCATACTATTCCACCAACCTGCTGTATGAATTATTTAGAATAGTCAATTTCACAGAGACAAGATATAAGACAGTAATTGCCAAAACCAGGGAAGGGGGTGGAGATTGATGGTACTTAATAGGTACAGACTTTCATTTTTGCAAAATGAGGTTCTGGCCTCAATCAGTCCCCAGCAAAGGAGTGAAAGAGGGGGAGTTAAAAAAAGTCTCATGACCACACTGGTGGCCCACGCCTGTAATCCTAGCTACTCAGGAGGCTGAGATCTGAAGATCGTGGTTCAAAGACAGCCCAAGCAGCAAAGTCTGTGACACTCTTATCTCCAATTAATCACCAGAAAACTGGAAGTGGCACTGTGGTTCAAAGTGTTACAGCACTAACCTTGAGCAAAAAAGCTCAGGCCCAGCACCCAGGCCCAGAGTTCAAGCTCCACAATGGGCAAAAACCAAGTCTCAGAACTAACAAGCAAACAATGGGTTTGAGACTCAGCTCCACATTAAAGCCTGGTCCTATCACCACCCAGTACACTGCGGAACCCAGAGTGAATAAGTAGTGGAATGTTCAGTAGGGCTGAGGTCCTGAAGCTCCATCCTAGGAACAGGTGAAAGAGGGAAATAAAGTTCATCCTCTTCTTCCTCCCTAGCTTCGCATTCAGAAACTCTCTGACCCATTATGCCCTTCTGATACCCCCTCAGGTAAAACAAGAGCCAGGAGGACAAATGCCAGAGTCCCTAACTTTCTCCAACTTTCACAACTTAATAATGCAGTGAAACAAGCCTCTATAAGGCAAGGCTTGAGTTTCACTCCTGTGTCCTCACACTATACTAAGTAAGAAGTCTCCCATATACTGCTTTCAGCAGAGACTTGGACTCAATGTCCAGGTTGGACCTACCTATCACTACCCCATTCTATTTCCTGGGTGTTCTGTTCTCTGGCTTTCCTGATGCTCAGGTGGCTGCGATGCACACACACACACACACACACACACACACACACACACACACACACACACACACACACACACACACACACACACACACACACACACACACACACACACACACACACACACACACACACACACACACACACACACACACACACACACACACACACACACACACACACACACACACACACACACACACACTACTTAACTGAAAATGCTATGACTATTCCCACAGCTGAACTGGCTATTGGGAGGTGAATTTCCAGTTATGGCTGACAATTTACATCTGGGCTTTAAACACAGCTCAAGTGCTAATAATTTGTATAGGTCTCTAACAGCCTAGGATTAAATCAAAGCAACATAGAGCCTGATGAAAGAAGAATTCTGTGGCTTCCCTGGTCATTGAGACATGCAGGGAAAATATGAGCAATACCATAGAGCTAAGTAAAAATCCAGTAGTAGGCTCCAGGCTGGCCTATTTGCTAGAAACTTGCAGGAGAAAATTCTCCAGGAAATATGTGACAAAATCAGATATACTGTTACCAATTTCTGTTTAGGAAGGGGATAAAAGGACTCTAGGCTTGCTATCTATTAAACTACTATGAAATAAAACCATAATAGGAATACAAATGATTAATATTCATATGAAAAGATGTCAAAGATACTAGCAATTAGATTAGCTGAGCACCGGTGGCTCACGTCTACAACCCTAGCTACTCAGGAGGCTGATTTCTGAGAATTGTGGTTTAAAGCCAGCCCGGGCAGGTCCGTGAGACTCTTATCTCCAATAAAACACTAGCAAACCCAGAAGTGGCACTGTGGCTTAAGCGGTAGAGCGCTCACCTTGAGCTGAAAGAGCGCAGCGATAGCGCTCAGGCCGAGTTCAAGCCCCATGACTGACCCCCCCCCCAAAAAAAAATAAAAGAAAGAAAAAAGACTAGTAATTAGATTAAAACAAAAAGACTGATAACATCAAGTGCTGGTGAGGTGAGATGTGAGCAAAAGGGCCCAGTGCTTTCACTTTCTGAGTGGGAAGGTAGAAGTCTTTTAGATGGCAATTTGGCAATATTTGTCAACCTCTTTTTTAAACTGAAAATGTTTTTGTTTTTTGTTTGTTTGGTTTTTTTTTTTTTTTTTTTGGGTCCCGTCGTGGGGCCTGAACTCTGGGCCTGGGCACTGTCCCTCAACTCTTCAGCTCAAGGCTAGCGCTCTACCACTTGAGCCACAGCGCCACTTCTGGCTTTTTTCTTTTTGTTTATGTGGTGATAAGGAATCAAACCCAGGGCCTCGGGCATGCAAGGCAAGCGCTCTACCACTGAGCCACTTTCCCAGCCCCCTGAAAATGTTTTTAACTGATACATATAAATGCAAAAATTGTGCATATTTATGGAGCATCATGTGATGCTTCAATATCTGTATACATTGGATAATGACATGGTAAACATAACTAATCTCATCTTTTTTCCTTTTCTTTCTTCTCCTCTTTCCTTCCTCCCTGTTTGCCTCCCTCCCTGGAGACAAGATCTCAGGCTAACCTCATATTCAGCAGTCCTCCTGCTCTCTATCCCCTAATGCTAGGATTATAGGCATGTTTGCCATCATTTATTATTTCTTTATGGTGAAACATTCAAAGTAATTTTTTCTAGCTTTTTGAGATGTAGTATCGGTTTCTATAAAGAAATGCTTCCACAACATAAAGACCAAAAGGCAAGTTGCCAAACAATGTATAATAAGGACCTTCTTTGAGCAAACCTTTTCTCTGTTCCAAAGCCCAACTAAATGATCCAATTCTACACATTTGGAAAGGCACAGAAATGGTCAGAAAGGCACGGCAGCAAGTTGACAGCAGGTGACTGACAGAGAAGGTGGTGGGAATGGGACAGAGGAGAAAAAGGCATTTGTATCATTTGTGTTTTTGCTCCTCACTTTGGGGGCTTTTCAGAAGCTGTATATACTTGTATTGCTTGCATAGTTAAAGAACAAAAAGGATCTCCCACAGGAGGCCTACACACCACTGGTGCCGCTGCCATGTCTTTAGTGATTGCTGAGAAGTTCCAGCACCTTTTGTGAGTACTCAACAACAACAAAAATGGGCACTGGAAAACAACCTTTGCCATCACTCCTATTAAGGGTATGGGATGAAGATATACTCATGTATATGCGGACATTGACCTCACCAAGAGGGCTAGAGGATGGGGTGAAACATGTGAGCACTGTTATGCAGAATCCACGTCAGTTCAAAATTCCAGACTGGTTCTTAAACAGAAGGATGGAAAGGATGGAAAATATAGCCAGGTTGCGGCCAATGGTCTGGATAACAAGCTCCATGAAGACCTGAAGAAGATTCAAGCCCATAGAGGGCTGCGCCACTTCTGGGGCCTTCGAGTCAGAGGCCAGCACACCAAGACCACTGGATGCTGTGGTTGCACTGTGGGTGTGTCCAAGAAGAAATGAGTCTGTAGGCCTTTTCTGTTAATAAATAATTAATGTACTGGGGGAAAAAAAGAATTAACAGCTGAAAGTATTGCTGCTAAAAGTAACTGTGGATCTTTGTAGCCCAAGATGAAAGAATGTGATCGTTTCAGGAGCTAATGACTAGAAAAAATAGTTGCAAAGACTTTGACAATATATTCACCTAGCATTTTCAAGCCATTATGCTAAGTGCTGGGGATTAAAAAAAAAAAAAGAAAATGTTAGCTTGGATGAAGGAGAATTATGGGTATAACAACAACAGCAGGAGACAGACAAGTTCTGTGAAAATTCATAGGTCAGCCCTGAGCCAGAGGCAAGATTTTGAGCCAGAAACTGAATCCTTTGGGAACCATCTGAGTGAGTAGGGGCTAGTATCACCAAGAAAAGCTTCAGGGCACATAAACCTAAACACCCTCCAGAATTTCCTTCACTTTTCTAGGGCAATGCTAAGTCCAGAGATCCTCATATTCACTCAATTACCTGAATGAGGAACGTGGGCTAGAATTAGGTCAAGCCTAGCATTATACTCTTATGTGCAGTGTCTCACATAAGAAGTCTCCAGGAACGCTTGCTGAATTCAAAGAAACAAAATCATGTCAGGGCCCTGAAAGAAGGTGATACAGATCTGAAGTGGAGTTGGAAAGTAGGTCATTTTCCATTTTAAAAATTCTGAACATGAGGTGGAAGCCTGGTTAAGCATCACAATTGGTGTTGGGGGGAGTGGAGGGAAGGATTTGTTGGGTAGCTTGGGAACCCAACCTAGAAGAGGAGAAACCTTACAGTGCCTGTCATTGTCTCATCTTTGGGGGACAGAGGCTGCTATCCATGGGATGGCCTGGTTTTTAAGGTAAGGAGGCTGGGCTCTAATACCAGCTTTCACAAGTAGGGCAGGGGCCAGAGATGGGTATCACCTAGTCCAGTCTCCAGAAATACAAATGAGTACCTGGAGACTAGAAGCACCTCAATGCACTGAATTCACACTTCGTTCTTAGTAGTGAGATGATAGCATCTATCCTCAGGAATCAGGCAGGAAGGAGGTAAGGCTTCCTGCTGTTCTGTGTCCAAGGGGCCAAAAAAGGGAACACATATCACTCTCACCTTTCCATAAAGTGTTCTAGATAAGTCTCTTCTCATGTCTGCTTTCCAAATGCTCAGAAGCAAAAAGCCTTCAAAAAATACTAAGGGCTTATCTTTGAGAGCAAAGAGGCACAGGGAGTTGGGGTAAGGCTTGGTGAAGGAAAGCATCTCCAAAGAAAAGCTTGGGGTGGACGTTTTATGGGGCCAAGAAAGAAAAGGTCTTGGAATAGTGCTCACAGCCCCGTAAGCTAAGCTCTCAGGAACAATCAGAGCTTGGAGGGATGAACAGCCCTTGGTCACCTGGAAGAAAAAGGCTCTTCTGTGTTGCTCCTGCAGGGTTTGCTTCAGCTGTTCCACGTCCCTCTCCAACTTCAGGTACTCGTTCCAGGCATTTTCCATTTCCTGTTGACCAAGGAAAGGCTTCTAGTCCCTTGTTGTCTCCTTTCTCCCTGGCAGCTTGCGAGTACCTATGCTCCTGATCTCTGCTGACCAGCCAGGGGAAGAGGGAAGGAGACCAGCTGATGGGAGGGAGACAGAGAAGCAGGAGGGAGTGTGGGATCTTACCGTGGCCACCTGCTCTCTCCCTTTTTCTATGCAGAAATGCTTTAATTCCCTGCCTTGACAGAAAGGTCTAGACCCAGCAGACTGACAAAAAAGTAGAAATTCTGACATCTTAGACTGGAATATGGCCTGAAAATTGCTTTGAGAATTCCATCCATTAGGCATTCTCAGCCATCTGGGAATAGCCCAAGGCATGGCAGACAGAGTAATGTCATCCCTGGAAGCTGTTGTCAGGATGCAGCAGCCTAGGAGAGTTCTTCCATTTCAAGATTCTCACCCCCTGGCTATCAACTCAACTAGAGCTGGGGAGATGGGCACATGGTGGCCATCCTTCCTGAGGAAATATCTGCCACCATCACACCCTGCACGCACAGTGGATTCCCTGGAGATCTCAGCTCGGATGTGGACAAGATCCTCCTGAAGCAGCTTCTGCTGGTAGGAAATCTTCTCCAGGTGCTGAGGCTGGTCTCGGTACTGCTCCATCTGTCTGTGTAATACCTCTAGTACGGATTCCAGCTGGTCCTGCATCGGGAAGGACAAAGCATAGGAGTTCAGTCCAAGAGGTCCCCTCATACAATACCAGGAAACAAACAAAGCCTGGAGATATGAAGCCCAAAGAGGCCAGTGTTGAGCTAAGGGCTAAGAGGCAGGGTTCTGATGCCAATTTACTAATAGCTCTGTACCTGGGCTTCCTCACCTACAAAGTGGACTTAAAGCCATTTCACTCCTTATACAATAAACTAAAAAGTGAGTTAATAGAAAAGTCTGGAAGCTCTGGAGAAAAAAAGTGTTATTATAAACCTTTAGCATGACAAATATAATGTCTTATTAAAATGCAATAAGAAAAAAATTCCCTGTAAGGGTCCAAGAGAGTTAATATGGGTAGCCCTAGACCCATTCTAATCTTCATCTAGACTTGATGTCTTCATAGCCTAGATCCTAGAAGAAAGGAATTTAGGTAATGAGGGACTCTGCTCAGCTGCAGCAGTAGCCAATTTCAAAGGGGCAGTTCCTTACTCAGGCCTCAGGCACCCAAATCAAACAAAGCCTCTCCCAGGCTCAGCTCTGAGGGCTTCCAGGCAAGTGGCCCAGAGCAGAATGAGATGAAGATAGCTGGAATGAATAAGCTAAGGTCTCCCTACTAGATCTTCTTCAGGCCCAGATAAAAGTCCCAAGAAGCACATTTTAAGCAGGATTAAAAAAAAATTTAAACTAACAGCTGTTGTCTAAAACATGAGATTCTAATTAATGTCTCAGGAAAGACAGGACAACCAAACACCCTTGCACCCTATGCAAAACCACTGCATACTTTGTTCTCCTTTAGAGCTCGGATCTTGTCTTCTAAGTCCTGGAGGATTCTGTCTTGTTCGCAGAAGATGCTCAATTTGACCTACAAGCAAGAACAGGATGAGGAGAACCTGGGAGGCTGAGAACAAGCCTGCAGGGTATGAGTAGAAAGCCTGTGACTACTACATCCAAACCCTGCTGGAAGCTACCCACACTGGGTCTGGGTCAGGAGGGGTCAGCCTGTCATTGCTCACTCACATCAATGTCACTCTCAGCAATCTTCACAGGCTTCAGACTTCGATCCTTGAGAAGGTCTCGGCCTGTCATCTGGGAGGTAAACAATTTAAAGGAGAGTTTACCGTGATGTTTAGAACCATGGCACTCAGGAAGGAAAGTTAGCTCTATTGTGAATGGTGTTGAAGTCTTGGCAGTGGATTATGGCATGAAAGGGCAAAAAAGCCTAAAGTAAAACCTGCTTCATTTCTATGTTGATTTCTTTTTTTGAGTAAAACTAAAGCCTCTTTGTGATCCTAGTAGCATTTGTACATTTCTCAAAGTAAATGCAGTTGTGAACCCAACTCTTCATTGCATACTTTCATTTCCCCTAAATCTCCTTCCTATCAGTGCAGGATCATCGTTATTATAAAGCATTTATTTACCCCAAATGAATGGGACAGCTGAGTGTGAATCTCAGATTTGCTACTGAAAAGACAGAGGTCTGCTAGTGAGCCAGGGACAAATGCAAATTACAGAAGTCCATCACCTGCTGCCCAGGGCAGTCGTGTGGACAGGAGGAAGGAATGAGCAAATCCTCTGAGCTTGTCTCGCTTCCGCTGAAGGAGATCTCTGAGCAAGCACTTCCCTTCCCCATGAGTTGGGCCAGCCCTCTCACCTACCTATTGGAAGAAGACTTAACCAAAGAAAGAAGAAACCTAGGTAACTTCCAACCAGGGTTTTAAGTTAATACTTGAATAATAGACTCAGCTGTACTTGTATGAGTTACTACCTGTTATCTCCAGAAAGGAAATCATAAAGCATTAAACAAAAGCCATTCCCACACTTGTGAGCCAATGGGATTTCACCTTTCCCAACTTAAAGTGGTCAGTGTTGCCTGTTCCCCTAAGAAGCTGAACTCCACTCTGTCACTTTTTGCTTTTGTTGATGCTGGTCCTGGGGCTTGAACTCAGGCCTGGGTGCTGTCCCTGAGCTTCTTTTGTTGAAAGTTGGTGCTCTACCACCTGAGCCACAGCTCCACTTCCAGCTTTTTTTTAATAGTTTAGTGGAGATAAGAGTCTCACAGACTTTCCTGCCCAGGCTGGCTTTGAACTGTGATCCTCAGATCTCAGCCTCCTGAGTAGCTAGGACTGTGAACCCAACTCTTAATTGTACACTTTCATTTCCCCCAAATCTCCTTCCTGTCAAAATATGTTCGGGGGTAATGTATAATTTTTCCACAAATGTACTTCCATGACCAAGACAAAGTCAGGTACAGCTAGGTCTAATGTACCTCAGATGTCATGTATGGGAGACCATCTCTCTGCCCTCTATTTTGCAGCTCTGACTAGGGAAGCAGAAAGAAGGTAAACATAGCAGAGACAGGTAGAATGTGTGCTATTTATACAGGAGATCCCAGAAAGATGGCTTTTACTTTCTCCCAACTCTATCTGGGAAGTCTAGTTCAGCTCCTATGAATCAGGAGCCAAAATACATATGTAATCATTCCCCTTAGAGCTCAAACTACCCATGGGACCAATTGTCTTACATTCTTCTTTTGTGAAAGCATCAGCAGCAAGTACAAAGGTTTCAGTCAAATAATCTCCTCTTGCCTTGGGCTAAGGATTGATTCTGAGCTACCGAACTGCTGTGATCCATTCCCACCATGTCTTCTGTCACACAGTAGAAAGCAGGGACCATTGTCTTATTATGTTAAAGCCTTGAACAAATGGCCTGGCACAACCGAAGGCCCTCAACAAATGCTTAGTGACATGTAGGTGAGTGAGAATTCCTGGTAAGAGTAGAACTCCACCCAAATTCTGCCTCTTAAACCAACAGATTATAAATACACATAGGTATGTATACACATAGTTGTAGATCACATCAACCTCTACAAGGATCCACAAAAACAGTGTTCTCTCTGAGATGGGAAACAGAAGAGGGAGTGGAAAGAAGGGCATGGAATTAGTACCAGTGTGGCCCCAGACAGGCAGACTCTCCAAGTAGGACGTGGGGAAAAGAGCAGGTGAAAGTGGCAAACAGTCCTCCCATCAAAGCAGAGGAGCATGAGTTTATTCCTTCTCCAAAGGGACTGACTTTTCTTGGCTCATTTCCTAACTAAGGAAGTTACTTTCAAATTGAGAAAATGCTTTGGGGATCCCTCCAGCAAAAATCATCCCCATATTTCACTGAAGCTTTTTACTGAGAATATCTTTCTGATACTTAAATAACAAAGCAGAGAATCTAATTGAGCAATGCCTCATTTATCCACACCACCGGGAAAGGCATGAGATGCTTTATACAAAAAGGGTATTCTGAGAAAGCAGAATCTTCTCCATTAAACTTTTGATGGAAGGCTTTCTAACAGTATGCCCTTCACTGCCTTCCTAGAATACTGAATATACATTCAACATTTTTCTCTCTTGGGAGATTAGCACTTCCTCTTTTCAAAGAAGGAAGTTTCTCTTGTCCTCCTTTAATGCGGTACTTACAGGGTGCTGTAAGCTAAGAATTCAAAGGACTTAAAAGCTCAACAGAGGCCAAGTGCTTCATCTCTCTCCTCCCTTTCACTGGGCTTGCTACCCTTTAGGGCATCCCTCCCACACCCTGAGAGTCTGTCACTACTGTGGTATGTAGTATATCAAATTACAATGCTCTGTTTGCTCATATATCTCACTAGACAGTAACCTCATTAGTGGTGAATATGGAGACTAGGGTGTATATTTTTTCCTGTCTTCAAAGCACAGCCAAGGCTGTGAGGATGCTTGGGAAATGTTTGCTTGGGGAGTTTATGACTATATGACAATCAGGTAGGTTTGTTTTGCTTCCTGGAAGGGCCAAAGACTGTGGCATATGCTTCTTGATTGCTATTTACACAGCACAGGGACCCATCAAGCATCTGAAGTTAGCTCTGTTCCAGAGAGTCATGCCTAGTAAGAAATATTATAACCACAAGTAGTATGTTACAGAAGTTTCATTTTAAAATTGTGCTTTGTGATAGCAATGTTTAAATCCATTTAAAACATCAGCAATGGATCCTCACAGTACCTCCTCAGTTGTGCACTTGGAAAGTCTTTGTATCAAAAGGGAATCAAAGACCCCTAGGCATTGGATCTCCCCTCTTCCACAACCCAACACACTGTCTTCAAGGTTCACACAGGATTCTCTTCCCCAACTTGTAGTCTCCCTTGCTCCAAGAGCGATTCATGTGGTAGCCAGTATTTCAGAGTCAGACCAAGAGGGTATGAGGTGACTGTTTTGTTATAGTCTAGCTCCAGCTTGCTATCCAAATGTCAACACCCTGTCCCAAACAAGAGACCAGGGCCCTCGGGGTATCTGAGAATACGCTGGCTTCTCCAAGGGGACCAGTAACTTCTGCTCCCTCCCAAGAAACTCCCGCTAGACCCTCCTTAGGTGAGCCCTGGCCATGGAGGCGGACGACTGAAAATGGAAACACAACACAAGCTGGTGGCAAGCCAGGCAAGCTCCCCACCCCGCTGGCAGCACAAAAAAATGGAGTCGCAGAACACCACAGATGAGCGGCTCAACCTGTTGCATCAACCACAATGCTGAAGAGAGCTTCAGTGTAATGAAAATAAACCAAAATGACTTGCAGGAAGCGTGGGGCGATCAGGAGAGCAACTGGTTAAGCAAGTGATGGAGCCGGCACTGAGCTAGAAGCAATGGAATGGCCCCGCTTGGAGACGGATCAGATCATCTTACGCTTCTCCTGGGCCGACAGCCCCGTGCTGACTTCTTCAGCACTTTGTAAAGCACGTTGATCAAAGGTTCATTATTTTTTATCTGTTCCAAACAAAAAGGCAAAATACAACAAAACGTAACAGGTGAGACATCAGACAACACTTGAAGCAGCTAGACTCTGGGGAGTTGGCAAGGGGAGGACCTCAAGGAGGACGTGTGCGGTGCAATTAAAAAGAACCTCACCACACTTGGGCTCCTTCCTCTGTAAGACGATTTAATATGATCTGAGTGGAGTGACTGTGTGCAGGCTCTATCAGTACCCATTTCCTTCCTGGCTTGGCCACAGAAGGCAAAGAAGAACATTATAAAAGGTAATTTTGTGTCCTCCTTGCTTGCTCGGAACACTCTGTAGGATGTCAAATCTTAAGAATGATACTGTGCATTCATCTTACTTTGCCTAACATCCATTCCATCTCCCCCCCACCCCCACCCCCAGCCCCGGTCCTTGACATTCACCTCCACACTTGGGATATACCTAAATTGTCTTGTCTTACCTATGGTCCCAAAGGCTCACAGCTCCTCTCAGAAGACATTGACCTCACCTTTTATGACAATGGAGTTCAACCCTGGCTGAAAACCAGAATCATCTGGAGAGCACTTAAAAATACTGAAGCACGGGGCTGGGAAGGTAGCTTGGTGGTAGAGTGCTTGCCTTGAATGCATGAGGCCCTGGGTTCGATTCCTCAGCACCACATAAGCAGAAAAGGCCAGAAGTGGTGCAGTGGCTCAAGTGGGAGAGCGCTAGCCTTGAGCTGAAGAGCTGAGGGACTGCACCCAGGCCCAGAGTTCAGGCACCACAAATACTGAAGCATGCTGGGCGCCAGAGGTGTGATCCTAGCTACTTAGGAGGCTGAGGTCTGAGGATCATGGTCCAAACCAACCTGGGCAGGAAAGTCCATGAAACTCTTATCCCTAATATACCTCCAGAAAACCGAAATGGCATTGTGGCTCAAGTGGTAGAGTGCTCACCTTGAGCTGAAGAGCTGAGGGACAGTGCCCAGGCCCAGAGTTCAAGCCCCATGACTGACAAAAAAAAAAAAAAAAAAAAAAAAAAAATATATATATATATATATATATATATATATATATATACTGAAGCCTGAGTCCCATCCTAGGCAATTCTGATGTCACTGATTGGGGATGAGGTCTGTCCAGTTGTTGTTGTTATTATTATTTGTTTTGTTGGTCTTGGGGCTTGAACTCTGAGCTTGAACACTGCCCCTCAACTCTTCAGCTCAAGGCTAGTGCTCTACCACTGAAGCCACTGCTCCACTTCTGGTTATCTGAGTATTTTATTGTAGATAAGAGTCTCAGGGATTTTCCTGCCTGGGTTAGCTTTGAATCCTCTGATC